TGACTCTGTATTGCAGGCCTGACTGCAACAGCGCCTGCTCTTTCAGACACCAAAAATCCTACTGGATTGTGTCAAATATAATAAGCCTGAAGTTCCAGCAACTGGAGGACCAGAATAATCATCGGAGAAGTTCTTAGTTAACGTCTCAGGAATTGCTCCACTTGACACTCGAGAGAGCCCCAAGTTTCCCACAAAGAGGCCTCTGCTTTCTGCCCTCCTGCATTTTGTTTCCATATTCTTCTCAGAACGGTGCAATTACTTACCTGCTGGTGCCTCTGGGATCACCGCTCCCTATCCCAGCTCCTACTGTATTTTGCACTGGTCATGAAATTCTAACTGCCACCTTGAAAGATTTACAACCCAAGGTTGGAGACCGTTTACTTCACCGCCTGGTTTTCTGGTCTACTAAACCTTTTGCTAGATTCTCGCCGCCAGTTCCAACTCTAAAAGTCACCGCCCTCTATCGACTGGGAGATAAGCCTGAGACAAAATCCCTGGTTCAAAGATCCTTAGAGTTTAGAATAGTTTGGCTCCACGTCCAAACTTTACAGCTGGCCCTGTACGGGGGCCAAACGCAACCCCCAGGTCTAAACATCCCCGAGCCATGGGAAAGCTCAGATCCCAGATTCAGCATCACTGTCGGACTCGCTCAAGAGACTGGTCTGGCGTCTGTTCTTCACCAAGTGGGTGTGTTTCACGCATGGTTTGGGATTTGCAGTTTTCCCTGCCGCTCCAAATTGAGCTGCCCTAGGTAAGGATTTCCTAGGTTCCTCTACTAAAGTTAGATTACTTGCCTGCTGCTACTTCCCCCATTTGAGTGCTACAGTATTCAACGCATTCAAAGCCAGCCCAATTCAAGTTCCCTCTGACGTGAAAGATGGTCAGGTTTTCTGTACAGCCTCTCCCTTTCCTCCCACTCATCCTCTTTTCTTCTGCAGTGTTTGCTAGGATTTTTTTCTCCACCCAAATCTCCATTTCCCTCTTCCCCACTCATTCCCATACGGCCCCATGTTCTCCCCTTTAAGTCCCCCTACCTCCTCTCCCCTCCCCCCATACACGGTGGTGGCCTGCAAGAGGCAGACAGGGCCATGCTCTGCCTCCCTGTAGTGGAGCTGGAGTGCGGTCCGGTGAGGAGGACGCTAGCCTGGGATAAACACATTGGACTGAGAGATTCTCTGATACGTGAGACTAGGAGCCATATACCTTTAGAATGAGGGGCAGTGGGTGAATTGGGCCTAACAGTTTGGCCTCCTATTACTCACTCTGTCTTGATTTGTGAAAGAAAAAGTTTTAACATAGTTCTTTCATCCTCCATACTGAGCAAAATGCAAAGAAAAATCAAAACCAGTGAAACTAGACCAGTCGGTTTCAGCTGCTGTTTCTAGACGAGTTTCACTTTCTAGCGAACCCTGCTATGTTTGGGTTGGCAGCACCAGGGGGGAAATGTTCAGGTCCATCCAAACCTTGGGGTTGAAATTAAAAAGAAAAGGGGGGGGGGCGCATTTCAATTTCACGCAGGTTTTGTGAAAGCCAGTTCAGTCCTCAGCTGCCGTACTTGATAGCAGCTATAGAATCCAGCACATGATGGGGAGAAAGAGGCTGACAGTGATTCACAGTTAGGGTAGCCTACGAACTATAGCTTCCTTAGAGTGTGGGCTGAGTTGGGGCGTCTAGTCCCCATGGTCAGCTGACATTCACACTGCCATGAGCAGCAAATACTAGCTCCTTGATTTTTGGGTCTGCATGTTTTTCCTGCTCAGAGGATAAGCAAGGCAGACTTAAGAGCATGTCCTCCTATTCGAATCCTTTGCTGGCCAGGGCTTCTTGCAGCCAAAGACCCAATGAGCAGAGTCTCTGCTCCCTTCCACCTTGCTGTCTTGTCTAGGGAATGATTTAGCTTCAAATATATAATTTTTCATCGGCAAGTCATGAAAGGAGATATTTCCCCGCCCCTTTCTTTTGTTAAGGTGGACACAGCCACAAGGGCTGGAAAATACTGGACAGCGGAGGTGAGTTTTAAAGAGGAAATGAAAGTTATTGTCTATAGGCCTCGATTCTCTCCCCGCCCCCCAGGCAGTTCTTGGAATCTACCTAAAAATGTCAGTCACGGGATTCCAAAGCTGCACTAGCTTCTGTAGATGTGCGTTGAGTCAAGTTTCTGAAACTTCAAATCCTTCCCAACTGGCTGGAAAGAAATCGCTATATTAGGCAAACTCTGGTTCTGAGGAAATGAACAAATACATAGCAGAGCTTCAGCTACCCTGCTGGCAAGTGGTATAAAAACTTAATTTGTATTACAGTATGTGACAATATATACGATCCAATTTAATCACCTGGACTAGCCAAGGATCCAGGCCTAGCAAACACAACTTAGAAACAATTAAATCACATAGAATTCATTCATACTTTAAAATAAGCTTTATTTAGGGTTTTTTTTTTTATTTTTTTAATATTTTTATATTTGCATCCATGCCTTCAAGGACTCTTCCCCACTCACGCGGGAAAAGTTAAATCTAATATTACCCATAATTCATATGCTATTAATTGTAGTTTTCTTTTAAATAAATCATCCTCTTAGTAACTTTTTTAGAATTATTTCCTAATTTAGAAAAGCTGAAATGAAAAGGAAACTACTAAAATAACCAGGAGTTTTGCTTGCTTGTTTTTAAATGATAAAAACACGAGAGGGGAAAAATGTATAAAAATGTTCCTCTGCAGAGAAAGATGCAACAGGGTCGTTCTCCCCCTCCCTGGTTTTGGACACATCCCCGTTGCAAAGCAGAGCAGGTATTTAAAGCCACTTTCCCTAACCCCCTGTGGTTTCTCCAGATCCTTCTGTTAGAAGGAAATGTAGCATGGTGGTATTGTGTGTTTTAGTTTCATAATTAAAGACAAAATATCCCTTTCAAACAGGGTGCACGTATTGGAATTAAAAAAAATACACAATAGTATTTTATTAAATAATCTTAAATTTAAGAGCGTAAAATTGTATTGTAAGCATTAAAGCACGACGCACTGTATTTTGTAGTAACCAGATAGCTGTGCATGTTAGTGGAAAGAGGGGGAAAAAGAATCACATTTTGAAGAGAGCCTAATGGATTTAGGAGCACAAGTCCCCGGTAAAAAGAGTGGGCTTTGTGCTTCTGAATCTTTTAGGTGCACTGGCAAAAATCTCCACCTCCAAATAAACTAGAATTTAGAAGAGACTGAGCAGACGTGGTTTTTTTCAGAAGCAACTGCATCAAATTACCTGGTCTTTCCAAAATGCACATTTGTTTGCTTGCGAAGCAGAGTTAGAAGGAAACAATGCCCCACAATAAGGGTTGAAGAGATGCACCTGTCAGCTTTGCTTACCTGGGGGCGCCAAAGCTATTAGACTGCTGCACTGTGGGACGAATGACGGGAGTAGCCCAGACCCAGACCAGTTTTCTTACAGACAAAATAAATATCCCAGGACTGAGTTAACAGCATTGGATACAGAACAGTTTTCCAGTGTTCCCCAAGCATCTGATCCAACGCTGTTTCCTGATATTTACAGTCCGACTCACTCCCTACTTTACTCCGAAGTCTTTTAGTTCCCATTCAACAAAGCACATAACTTTAAGATGGTGTTTAAGTCACATTGAAGTCAATGGGACTTAAGTACTTTCCTGCAAAGAGATGGATTGCTGAATCAGGGCCTTGGTTCCTTAAGCCACGCTTTATCCCCCTTTCTTATTAATAACCCAAATGAATGCAGTATATAGGAAAAGCCGCAGACATGAGGCAAAAATGAATTGTATGTTTCTGTGGACAGAAAATACAATCAAAGCAAAGGTCAGTGCTTCCTTCCAAATACATGCAGTACTGAAAAGGCCGGTCTGCTTTGCAGTCTAACATTTTCCGCTACATTATTCCATAATAAATATCACTGTTGCTCTTTTCCAATACGTTGAGCATTTTTAAAATAGTTTTAGATAAAGATATCTGTACATATCTGACCTGGTTATACTTCCTATATAGCAATCTGGGTCCCCGATCCTGCTGTCTAGATCGACTGCGGGATAGGGGAAACGTACACCATGTTAGCATGCGAGACAGAGAAATGCAACAGAAATTCATTTGGAAAAAAAAAACCCCACAAAGACAAATAGAAAAACTGATTTCTCTCAGCTTCTACCCAATCCTACCCGAGTTCTGCAGGCAGCAGTTTAATAGAACAGTACAGTATAAACACACCCTCCCATCCCCATCCAAACCATTGTGGAAAAATATAAATTCCAATCTTTATGCAATAATTTAGTTAGAATAGCTCTTCTGGATTTGCGCAAATAAATTAAACTAAACAATCAGAGGAAAGTTAAACCATCATTCCAGGCTGACAGGCATTAAAAAGAGAACAGTGTTGCCTCCTGAGATTTTGGCCAGGAAGACATCACACTGAGTGAGATTTTAAGGTCTTTCTGGATAGGCAGAGCCTAATGTTTTTGTAACTCGGGTGCACCCTGTGAATAGGATACTGTCCCCTCCAACCCCTGACTTTTAGAACATACCAGATACAGAATGCACCGACATGAGGGGCTCAAGAAAACAGCGTTTTTGGACAAGAGACGTCACAAGCACAAAGTGCACAATATTTTTGTTATTTACAAATACACAGCAGTCCTTCAAGTTTCAAGTTTCATTAAGAAGAAAAAAAAATCAAAAACCAAAAAACCCAAACAAAACAAAAAATAGGAACAAAACGAGAGGATTACAACACAACTGCATCGCTCCAAAGACAACAGTTAACATAGTCACACACAGGCTTTGTTTGTAGTATGTACATCAGTTACAGAAGTGGCGACGCAGAGGAAAAAGGCTCACTTTCTTTTTTTTAGTTAGATGCATCCGCACACACACAACCACACACCCACCCACGCACGCACACCGGCAGCAGAGGAAGGAGGCAAGCTACCAGCTTGGGGAGGGGAGGGGTCACCAGTCTGCGTCTTCCTCTATGTAATAATCGGGAGCAGTACCATCAAAGAGGCCCGGGTCTAGGGATTTCCGCTGCTTCCCTCTGGCAAATACTCTGGAGATGGAACCAAATCCCATCTTCTCTTTCTTCTTTTTTCGTTTTTGGTCTTCGAGGTCCTCTAGAGACTGCAAAGCGGAGGGAGAAGCAAGAAGGGGAAATAACATGAGCGTCGACAATAAACAATCTGGGGAGAGAAGGTGCTCACCGGTTGGAGTGGGGCAGGAACTATACGAGGGAAAGGAGAAGAGCCAGAGACTCCATGGAGGCAACTGGGGACTGCTATAGCTATTGGTTTTATGTGGAAAGTGCCCAGATGCTATGGTGATGGGCAGCAGGCTAAAACCCTAAGATGGTTAGCTTTCAAAAATCTCCATCTAAGGGTCTGTGAAGTGCACAGACATCCAAATTCCTTTGGTGGCTTTAAATATCTCAGCCTTGATAACTAGGGCAAGGGGATGGTCCAGGCAGTCAGGAGAACGCCTACACAGTCAGCAACAGCGCTCGAGCTGGAGCTCCCGTAATGTAAATGAGAAGGAGCTGCTGGCAGGGGCCCTCCATTTTGGAATTTGCTCCCCACCCTCGGGTCCACAAGAGCCTGGAGTTGTTGCTCTTCCAGGCAAGCTGGGGCGGAGCCTGTGGGTTGAGGTGGAGATGTTTAGGGGCTGTCCCTGGCCTATCTACGTTGTAATTTTTCATTTACAGGTTAGGCACCCCGAGCAGCGGGCAGGTGCCTATTGGTGTATTTTAAAATATGTGCAGAAATTAATAAGGGCCTAATCTGATGTCACTGAAGGCTAATTGGGCTTTGGTTTGGACCCTGTACTTGGACCGTCTCTTATCCTAAATAATAACCGTAATATTTATTTACATAGTATCCATGCATTGGAGATATTATTCAAATTAATAGTACTTTGTGAAAAGGCAACAGGGTCTAATAAATTCCAGCACCAGAGTGAGGGAAAAAAAAATCCAGCCCCAATAACCCCCTTTCCTGCAATCCAAAAGCAACCAACCTCAGCCTAAGGAAATGGGATCTGAGCCCCTCACTCCCGACCTGCAGTCCCTGCTAGCCCAGCCCTGGGATCCACCCCTAGCTCTGCCAGTGCCCCTCGCATTGTAGCAAAAGTCTCATTCAACTTAATGAGAGCCAGAGGGGAGCTTTAAGTGGAAGGATGCTACAGAGAAACTCTGGCACGGTGGTGCCTGGGGAGAGGATTGCAGATGAATATGATGGAAGTTCTTGTTTTCTTAAATTCAGGTGCATTGCTTTGTGCAGAATGTAGCACTTTTACATAACCCCATGCAGGGCCAGCTCCAGGCACCAGCATTCCAACCAGGTGCTTGGGGCGGCAATCTGCAAGGGGCGGCACTCCGTGTGTTTTTGCCGCCCCGAGCAGCGCGCCGAATTGCCGCTGCCGCGGAAACGCGCGTGCCACCCTAACAGCGCACAGACTGCCCCCGCCGTCTGCAGCGGCAATTCGGCGTGCTGCTTGGGGCGGCAAAAACAGTAGAGCCGGCCCTGACCCCATGGACTCACCTACCTGTTCTTTAACTTAGGCTAAAGCACTAGAACCAGACAGAACAAGCTCAAAACTTGGGTCAGTGTGTCAGAAAGCCTATGGAAACTTTTGAGCAAACCTGGGAGGATTTAGTGGAGTCAAGATTTCACCCTACAAAGTGGGAGTTTTGCCATTTACTTCAAGGGGGGCAGGGTTTCACACTGGGCTTAGTGTGGGGGTTTTTGCGGGTAAAATAGGAGAGTCGTTTGACTGAGCTCTGCCTTGAAGTTTGGGTTTATTCAAACCGGAGACAGGACTCTAAGGCCCAGAGCCTCAAAAGAATGTAGGTGTCTAACTCCCATTGAAACCTAAATACCTTTGGGGAATCTGGGTCAAAAGGGGGAAGGGATAGCTCAGTGGTTTGAGCAGTGGCCTGCTAAACCCAGGGTTGTGAGTTCAATCCCTGAGGGGGCCATTTAGGGATCTGGGGCAAAAATCTGTCTGGGGATTGGTCCTGCTTTGAGCAGGAGGTTGGACTAGATGACCTCCTGAGGTCCCTTCCAACCCTGATATTCTATGATTCTATTACAGCTGGATTTTGACCACCACAAGTGTTCCTGGGGGGCGGGGGTGTCAGTGTTTGGACCCAGGGTTTTGGTGCGGCCTGTTTATATTTGGAACACCACACAGTTCAGGGACAGCTGGGGCACAGGCCCATCTGCAATCCAACCCCCCGCAGTGTGAATCCACGTGGGCGATGTTCACACAAACCCTTGTGAAGGGAAAACTCTGAGTCTAAAGGAGTTTCAACCGTTTCATCTCTCTCATCAACCTTCTCCCCTCTTGTTTTTCTTTAGTAGCAGCGGGCTCTAACTTGGAGACAGATCAGCCGTTGCTTTTGCTTTTCATGTCATTGCTTTTCAGACCGCAATGTGTGGTTTACCTGAAACTTTCTTTCCAAATAAAGTGTCTTGGAGTTAAAAAATACTGTCAAGAAGCAAACCCCAGCTCCAGTGTCTCACTCCAGAACAGGTACATTTGTGCAAATGGCGGGTGAGGAATGAGTCGAAGGTCCTGTCTGCTAAGGACATTTACAACAGTGTAGCTATTTCAATGCAGTTCCCCAGTCCTATCTGGCTCCCCAGCTGCAGCTTACTGGGGGATGTCACGGGACGATGATGCATCAGATGAAGCCCTGTGTGAGGCTGGTGCAGCACATCATTTAATTACACCACTGCACATTTCTTTCATGTAGACAGGGCCTCAGTTACTTTGGTTTCCACCGTTCTGCACCCACCCGACTGGACCCAGCATAGCTAGCTCATGCCGCTGCTCACCCCTGCCTGTTCTGCCAGCGCTGTGCTATTTTTAGTGCACTAGCAGCTCCTCGAGCTAGCAGGAGTGTGTCTGGCAATCATCCTCCCTCGCTCCTGGTGTAGACGTAGCCTACGCTGGTGTAACAGATACCGAGGAGCTGGCAGAAGGTGCAATTTACACCAGATTGGACTCTTTTGCGGGCCCATCCCCCTCTCTAAAAAGGCAACTGCTATTCCCAGTATCTGCCATTCTCTCTGAAATGTGATGCCTGAACTCTTCTCTCATCTCCTCGACTGCAGCTGGGCTGGAGTCAGAGAGTTTGGCTCTGGCTCCAAAGTTGAGGGTGGCTCAAATCCAGAGTTTTCATTCAGACCCATTTCCAAAGCTGACAGATGTTACCGATCATGGTCTACCTATATACTTGGGGCTTGTCTACACTACCCGCCGGATCGGCGGGCAGCAATCGATTCAGGGGGGGTCAATTTATCATGTCTAGTCTAGACACGATAAATCGACCGCTGAGCGCTCTCCCGTCAACTCCGGTACTCCACCAGAACTAGAAGCGCAAGCGGAATCGACGGGAGAGCGCCAGCTGTTGACTTACCGCAGTGAAGACGCCGCGGTGAGTAGATCGAAGTATGTCGACTTCAGCTACGCTATTCACGTAGCTTAGATCGACCCTGCGCGGTAGTGTAGACAAGCCCTTACAATATACCTATTCGGCATTTCACATGACTCTGGCCTCTGCACCATGTGTGTGTGTCAACCACGCTGCGCACTAATAAACTGTATTTCATTAGGAGATTGGTCAAGAAAGGCAATTGGTTTCCTACCTGTACAATTGGGTTGTGCAAGTTCTTCTGTACCGGTCCAGGACTATCCCCCTACCGGTAGAAGGAGACAGATCACATTGAAACAGCATAAACACAGTCCTAGTACCACACAGCACTGCTAGAGCAAAACCGGCCCAGGGATATAAACGCACACCCAGCAGCTCTCTCTCTGGAAATCCTGCTTATTTCTGGGCTTCAGAGCATTAGCTGTTGCAAAGTTGCTGCTGTTTCATGTTGAAGCCAATTTGTTTTGGGAAGGAGAAGTGGGGTTTGGGAAAAGAGAAGATCATGCGGAGGCAGGTAAAACTGTATGTTCCCTAGACTATGCCACAGAGACTAGGCTAAGGGCAACCAAGAGGGAAATTCAAACATGGTTTTGGAAAAATCAGAATCTCAGAATAAAGAAGGGTGAATCCGCTGAACTCAACCAAACTCCCTTGAACCGAGACAAGATTCATTTAACCCTTTGTTCTCACGACTCCTGCACCTTTGTCTCATCTTTGCAAACCAGAGAAATTTCTGAGAAACACCCGAACTTCGGTGTGCTTCTCAGAGCCCAGACGCACCCTTCCAACCCACATTAGTAACAAAAATAAAATCCAGACGAATGCAGACATTTCGGTCCAGGTCCCTTTCCCAGGTCAAAAAACTAAAGAGGAAAAGTTTAATCTTGAGCCACCGTTTATGCTGTTCCGAGTTGGTCTGCCTCTGCCTGTTAGCAAGGGCTAATGCCACTGGTTCTGGACCGGTATAGGAAATGCCACAGATTGTCACATTAATTCGTGTCGGGCCAGGTTCGAAGGCAATGGGTATAAGTTACACATTGGTGAGCAGGTGGAAAGGAGCCTGCATTGGTGAAACAGACATGCCAAGTGACCAATTTGGTGTGGAGACGGGCCTGCTTTACTACCTCTTCTCAGCTCTTTATTACATCCTTCTCTTCTGGCCCCCTAAGCATGGAGTTTACACCAGCTTACGCTCCTTTAGACTGAGATCTACTCCCTGAACTCAGATCCCCTCTGACTTATATCTTGATTCATATGCCACAGGGGCTGGATGTAATTGGTCAAGCAAAAATGTAACGAGGAGGACTGAAGCTAGCCCCTCGTTAACGAGGGGGGACGTGCCTGACTATCACCAATTAGTAATAAATCATTATTTGTACAGCACTGTTCAGGGTGCTGGATGCTTTATGTGGGAATGGTCCAGGACTCAATGGGAAATGGCCTTGTTATCAGCTTGCACAAGGATTTGGGAAGATGCCGCATATTCTGCCCATTTGGGTTTAGACCCAGCTAGGAAGCACCATCCTAGTACTAATCAAACCTAGGGAGTGAAAAAAAACAACCACTGGGTGGAACGTACCATGCCTGAGAGGTTGTGTGTGTGTGTGTGTGTGTGTGTGTGTGAGACAGACACACACACACAAACTATTTGAAATGGGAGGAACAGCCACCGTGAAAGCATGACTGTCAAACTACAAAAGCCACACAAATAAATCTGCTCACTAAAAGTTAGCTCTAAGGGCTTGTCTCCACAGCGAGTTATTTCAGATGAGCTATTCCCGATTAACGCCATGTGTGGATGCCCTTGTTCCAGAATAGGAGTGCCTTATTCTGAATTAGGCTACATCTACACTACAGGGGGGAGTCGATTTAAGATACGCAAATTCAGCTACATGAATAGCGTAGCTGAATTCGACGTATCACAGCCGACTTACCCCGTTGTGAGGACGGCGGCAAAATCGACTTCTGCGGCTTTTTGTCGGCGGCGCTTACTACCACCTCCCCTGGTGGAGTTAGAGCGCCGATTTGGGGATCGATTGTCGCGTCCCGACGGGACGCGATAAATCGATCCCCGAGAGGTCGATTTCTACCCGCCGATTCAGGCGGGTAGTATAGACCAGACCTTAGTTTAATCCAATCGGTCCTTTCTGTAGGAAAGCTACTTAAACTAACTTGGAAACAGACACTCTTAGGGCTTGTTTACACAGACAGTTTGTGCATGGTAAACTGAGGTGAAAATCTACCCCACACTAGCCTGCTGCACACTCACTGGCTGTCTGGACGCTGCTGTCGTGCACTGAAAGTTCCCTAATGCACTTTAATCTGCTCCCATTTCAAAGAGGGGGAGCTCAAAGCACACAAGAACTGCCGGTGCACGGCAGCAGGGTCTATTCTGGACACAGTGCGTGGCAGGCTAGAAATAGGTAGATTTACATCCCAGCTTGCCGTGAACTGTTGGTCTAGACAAGCCCGTATTCTGGAATCAGGAATAGTTAATCTGCTTTAAATTCGTACCGTACCTTATTCAGGATGAATTTTCACGTGCAGACAAGCCTGTGCCACACCCCCCCATTGGTCTCCCTGCCAGCGAGAGGCTCGGTGAGCCTCAGCTGTGAGGGTGGGCTTTGGCGATGCCGATGCCTCTAGGAGCGAGACAAACGCTCCCCACTCAGGTCACTCCAGAGTGATCAGATGCTGCCTTACAGACGTGAGCTGGACTTTAACTGGTGACCCACAGCTAACGGGTGTGTTATCAATACACTGAGCCGGCCAGTCCTCTGTTCTTCTGGCTGTTCGACACTGTTCTTCTGGCTGCACAGTGCAGACACCCCGTATCTCTCTCCTTCATTGCAGTGGGGCAACTGCCCGAGGGGCTTGGAGATTGTTCTCTCAGGGTACGTCTATACTTACCTCCGGGTTCAGCGGTAAGCAATCGATCTTCTGAGATCGATTTATCGCATCTTGTCTAGACGCGATAAATCGATCCCGGAAGTGCTCGCCGTCGACACCGGTACTCCTGCTCCGTGAGAGGAGTATGCGGAGTCGATGGGGGAGCCTGCCTGCCACGTGTGGACCCGCGGTAAGTACCTTATAGTTCGAACTAAGATACTTCGACTTCGCTGAAGTTGCGTATCTTAGTTCGAACTGGGGGGTTAGTGGGGACCAGCCCTCATTCCTGTATGGTTGCCTTAGTCAGCATATGCTGCAGGGCTTTCTTATCTGGTAAATGCTCACTCACTGAACTCCTAGAATTAAGTTACATTTATCTGCATTTATTAGCCAGGTTATCTTAATTATGAACCGTATAACCTCTCTGCTCTCCCACTGCAATGTTTCTGGATATTTCCTGCACCTTCCAATGTATTTTCTCTATTGAACTTTGAAAAATTCTCTTCCACGCCGTCACTCCAGTCATTTAAATCAATTCTATTGATACCGAAGCAACAGACTCCTGGCCGATCTTTCTTTGCTTCTGTCATTGGTAGAAAAGGCTGCCGCTCTCTTTCTCCCCTCCCCCAACTTAAAAAATGTGGAATGCAAAGGGCCGAATTCTGTTCTCATTTACACAGTGTTATACATCAAGAGTAACTTCACGGATGGAATTACTGTAGATTTATACCAGTGTAAAAGGAGAGCAGAAATGTGGATTCACACCAGCTCAGTGTGTGAGATCATGTCTCCCTCTAGTGGCTAGAGAAAGTATCAGCCCTAAATCTGTTCGCTAATGGAGAGTCTCCTTTAAACTCACAGCTACGCTTTTGGAGAGGAAAAGGGTAGGTTCTGTCCCCGGTGCTGCAAGTGTGCGGTTGACCCAGTGATTGTGGCTGGAAGCTCTGTGCCTCTTCAGTTCACAGGGAGTTTGACAAACCCTGTTTTCATTTTGACTCATATGGCTTCCCAGCTCTCAAGTTTGATTCAGAGGAACTTGAAGGCTGAGAGTGAAACTCGGTCTCAGTGGCTCAATTTTGATTGATGGGGAGGGGGAGGGGGAAGGGGACGTCACATCATGAGAAACTGTAAAGCTCTGCACGTCCTCAATCAAAACCTAGAACATGGAGCCCGAGGGGAGAAACACTTTGTCAAAGTCTCAGTCCAGGTCCAACTCGAACATGGATCTGTTTTTAAGTACGTTCATACATTTTCGCTTTGTTGAAGCTTGTTCCTCCCCCGGAAACCTGAGAGATTCCGAATGGCTAGTTAGGAAAACTGCCATTTCAATCAACCTCTTTGCAATCCATGTTCCGGGCTGCAAAAATAAGGGCCTGGCACAAAATTATAGTTGTTTCTTCAGGACTTTTTACTAAAATCAGAGATGCAACATTTTTGCACAGCTCTTGAAAAGAGGGACGTGGATTCCCCACTGCCTCGTACTGTGTGTGGGCGTGGCCGCCAGTGCAAAGTGAGAGCCAGGGACACGCACTTTGCAGAGGTGCAAGTGAGCACACAGAGTCAGGCAGTGTAGAACCAACTCCTGGTTGGTATGTGGGTAGTTTTAAGTCCCATTCAAACTCAGGATTTACATGAATAGCCTGATCGAAAGCCCGGTGAGAGGCTTTGCCTTGTCGTTGGTGGGCTTTGGCTCAGGCCCCAGAAGAAGGGCTGGCAAAAGACAAGCAGGTAAGAGCGATGGTTAGGGTTAGAAACATTGGCACGGATGTTAAGAGTCACAAACGACCTCACAACTGCCTTACATTGCAGAGGGAATGCGTCCGATGCCGGGGCGAGTTGATGTCACTTGGCGTCGATGACCTATCGCCTTCTGCTGCTGATGCATCGGAGATGATGGAAGGCTGCCGTGAATGGCACGGACTCACTCTGACAGCTGGAAGGCAAGGAGCAGAGTTAGGGCTCAGTGGAATTAGTATGTTCATCTCTGTGCCCTCCCTGCTTTAGCTCGGATACTACACCATTCTCGGTCTGTGAATTTGGTTCTCTCCAGTGCTGTGTTTATACACAGACAGTCACCGGCTGGGGCGTTGGATGAATGCTTTAGACCACCGCATAACGCTGCAGATCTGCTATCCTGCCTGTAACTTCTGGGGGGCAGCTGCAGAGATAGAGAGGGTGCGATGGCTCAGCTGTTGGACTAGAGACCTGGATTCAGGTCCCGGTTCTGCCGCAACTTAACTGCGTGAGCTTGGGCAAATCCCAACATTTCTCTGAGCTTCTGTTCCCTATCTGTAAAGATCCTTAGTCTCCCTTCTTTATTTAGACCCTGACAGAACAAGGAGTAATGGTTTCAAGTTGCAGTGGGGGAGGTGTAGGTTGGATATTAGGAAACACTATTTCACTAGGAGGGTGGTGAAGCACTGGAATGGGTGACCTAGGGAGGTGGTGGAATCACCTTCCTTAGAGGTTTTTAAGGCCCAGCTTGACAAAGCCCTGGCTAGGATGATTTAGTGGGTGTTGGTCCTGCTTTGAGCAGGGGGTTGGACTAGATGACCTCCTGAGGTCTCTTCCAACCCTAATCTTCTATGATTCTATGATAATTAGTTAGATGGGTAACAACTTGTGCCAAAGGGAGAAGCATCTTCATAATCCAAGCTAAATAACATAACGACTTTCTTTGGCCCCACGTGGAATGCGGTTTGCTCAAAGGAACACGATCAATTTAGTCTGGGCCCCATAGTTAGGTTTGGTGGGTAAAAGACAGAAAGGATGAATAGAAACATTAATAAATGTTGCAGGTTTTCTTGTTTAAGATCCAGACAGTCCCTTGCAATATTGTGAAGTCAAACCCCGGAGCACGGTGCTGTGGTGGGAGACTCAGAAACCGACCAGACTAATTTCATAGTCAAAGGTGAATGAATTTAATCTATCACTAATTTATGATGATATTTGTCAACTGGGAAGATTAAATGAACATATTTAAAAACAAACACTCTTGATATTGTCCTTTTAAAACAACTCACCCTAGAAGTTTGTAGGCTGGTCCAATTGGCCCTACATAGTGTTCAAGCTCTAATATGGCTGCAAACATTTTTTTGTGGGAATTTCTTACATTTCAGATGATGACACGCTAATAAGTTACTGTTTTTTTCCATCCTTCCTGCCCGTGGTGGGGGCTCCCCAGGGTTGCTACTCAATAGTTTGAGATGATAATGACCATCCCAATAGTCACTTTCCTTGGTGAGTCCCTGAGCATGAAAGGCACCGAAATGAAGCTCTATTGTGCCGGACGACTCCAGCACGGGGCAATGGTTTGAGCACAGCACTGGCCGTGAGGACACCTGGGTGCCATGCCTGCCTGTGACAGAGACGTGTTCTGTGGCCATGGGCAAGTTCTTTAATGTTTGGGCTCCAGGTACCCCACTTGCAAATGAGGAAAGTAATAGTCACTTCAGTACATTAATGTCTGTAAAGTGCTTTGAGATCCCCATGTGAACAGCGCTACAGAAGAGCAAAGATTATTGTTGTGGTTAAAAACGGGATCCTTGGAGCCCATCCAGGCCCAGGTATCACCTATGCCTTGTGAGAAAGAAGGATAATGTCCTTTTGTTGAGCACACAGCTTTAATCCAAATGGATCCCAAAGTGTTTCCTGAACACGCTGACGGGGTTTTTCAAAAGCAGCTAAGAGAGTAAGATACCTAATTCCGAATGGGAGCTGGGTGTCTAACTCCCTTAGGCTCCTTCGAAAATCTCCTGGAGTCACCCACCACTGCAGGGCAACCACCTATGGCAAGCCCTTCTGCTTGCGAACAAATTCCTCTGCAGCGTAGTGCTCGCCGCCGACTTCTGAGCAAATGCATCCTCCTCCCTGATCTGCCTTTGCAGGGCTTAAAGGAACGAGGCGCGGACGCCTTTGAGATCACCTCTCAGGAAAGGCTGGGAACTGCTGCTTCCCGAGGCCTGGGATTTGGTTGCAAACAGTTGGGGTGCTGGGTAGGTTATTGGAACAGGGAGAGCACATAGGGTATCTTAGAATTGAAAGGGAAGAGGGCAAAGCCTGCTTGGTGGCCTTGAAACAGCATCATGCACTCAAGCAGGAGAATATAGGCTCCAGTGAGACCAATGCTTTCCAGTGTGGACATTTCAAGCTAGGCAGCTACATCCATTTAGCTTGTTCAGCTCTACATGGCAGGGACTCTCTCTTACTATGCGTTTGTACAGTGCCTGGCACAAGGAGGGCCGGATCTCACCGGGGGCTTTAATGTGCTACTGCAGTACAGATAATAAAGACAGATCCATTATTATTAGGTGCCTAAGCGCGGGCCCTGATTTCCAGAAGTGCCGAGCTCCCATTGACTGTGGCTGCTTGGAAAGTCAGGCCCCTTACTCGGATGGCCAACTCTACGCCCCCAGGTTTGAACATCCTGGCCCCAGTTCACAGCGTGGAAGGCAGAGAGCGGGGAGACCAGCCTCCATTTACTCCAGCCTGCTGCTCTGAAGCGGAGTTGAAGCTGCTCCCTGAAAGGGGATTAGTTCAGGAGGCTGCCCAGCTGGCAGAGTCTCCAGACTTTGAAGCCACAGGGGAAGGGGAGGTTATGCATAGCAGCCTGGGTCTGAATCTGTATTTTGAGACCTGGTTGGGTTTCTTACATGCCCTTGTCAAACCATGGGAGAGACTTGTACCACAGAGGGTAGAAGCAGTGAATCCCTTGCCCTCCCACAGCACCCCTTCTCCAAACATCTCCACATGCTTTACAGCTAGGCCTCGATTAAGCCTTACAACATCTGGAGGAGACAAGAAAGAGAGAGCTGAGGATGACATCAGCCCAACCACTGAAACTCAGCCAACCTCTGGGGTGAAAGGTGGCAGCTGTTACAGGGCACTGCAGTACTGCGTAACCGCTTGGAACAGGAAGGAACAAAGAATGTTGTGTATTCACTGGATCCCGCAGGAGGGATTTTAGGGGGCAGAACATAATTTATCTTAACTGGGGTTCAAAAGAATCCTAAAACTTCAATGACCCGAAGGCCTCAGGCTTACACCTCATCTGAAAGAGGGGAATACAGGGGTGAAAATCCTCAGTGTTGAAGATAAACCCTAATTTTAAAATGAATGAGAATTGTTGACATTCAAAAGGGAAATTGTTAAGCTTCAGATCAAAGTTGGCTCAAGGCTGTGGGCCAGATCCTCAGCAGGTGTCGACTGGCATAGATACATTGGCTCCAGTGTAGCTACGACCTGGGGATCTGGCCTCATGCCTCCGGAACTCTCATATGTATTTAAATCTTTCTCCTATACCCGCCTCTCCTTGGAGCGGAGTCATACCAAGCTACTGGACTTTATTTCCCTCCCTGCCACAGTACACAAGACTAACCCTTTGCTGGAACAAGGCGGTTCTCAATTTCATCAAGAATGCCATCGTCTTAAAGGCAGACGAGATCACAGAGGTTTCCCAAAGGGGTTTGTGGCTGGCTAGGGGCTCACCTTGTCGGTCTGCTGAATGCTGGGGGTGCGCATGATAAAGCGTCTGCTGGCTCTGCCGGATAGCAGCTGTGAGCGGGAGATCCGCCTGCATCACCCATTCCTGATTCCCATTCAACACGGTCTCGCCTGGCATGGCTAACGAGTGACGCTTGGGGACATCCTTGGTTAACGTGGCTAAGGACTGCTTGGCCTGATGGGATAAAAGAACAAAACACAAGACAATGAAACACTTCTCTCAAGACAGCACTCGGATTGCAGTGCGTTCGAGTCACCCCTGTGCAGAGGGGCTAACACAACGCACGGGGGCCAGCCCCGGCTTTCCGGCAGCCCCCAGGTAAGACTAAGCATAAGTGATTGAGCTGGGGTAGGCTGGCCAGTTGAAGTCAAACCTATTTGGTCATCACAAAGAAAACAAAAACAGCACAACAAAGCGTTAGCGTGTGATTTACCTTCGAGAGAAACCTGGACCAAAAACTGAAACAGCTGTTCCTGCAAATACAGGAGCCAGTGATTTATACAGTAAGCGGTGCCAAATTTCATGAAGAAAGGCAAAGGCACACAGAGAAAGTCAGTGGTTGGCTTTGGTTCAGATGTGTTAAACGGGCCTGTTTGTTCTTCTGCTGTTCCCGGTGGACTTGGCAGGCTCAGAGGGACGCTTTCCCCCTGTTCAATATTTTGCTTTTTTGAAAAATTAAACAGAAGCATCTACAAAGTAAAAATAATTTGAAAATTCTCATTAAAGAGGTGCCCGTTGCTTGACTGTACCTTTTAATTAGCCAGCAGAGAATAGCTCCCATGATTCACTCCATGTTTTATAACTAGGACAACACAGAATATTTCCACAGTTCTGAAGTGCCTTGGAAATCATAGGCTGGTTGGGTTTTTTCCAGTCCCTCAAGGTGTCACTTATTAAAGGCCCAGTCCTGCATTTTGATCCCTGCCTGTGGTCCCTTTATGCCCCCTGTTGACTTCCCTGGGACTCTGTGCAGATGTCGAGGTAGGTCAGTGATCAGATTAAAGGATCAGGGTCTGTCGCATTAAATGATGCGGTGCCTTTGGTCGGACTTCAGAGGAACAAGGAGGGCATGAATTTGCTCCTAAGGTACAAATGGAGCTGTTGGCAGCAACAGGCCGTGCACACCCCTTTCTCTGCCCCGAGCCTTGCAATGGGTTTCTTTGGGGAACACCCCAAATGTTGCACTGCAGGACATGTGAGCCACGAACCCGGAGCCATGCATGACACCTTTGGGGCCCAATCCTGCTCTCAGTGGAGTCAGTGGGTGCAGGATCAGCTCCTATGTACCTGAGCCAAAGCCTGCTGAAGTCAATGAGAGTCGTCCCTTTGATGGACTCTGGATCGTGTCCCTGGGGAGGAACCATTATTGGTAAGTGATTCGCTTTTTAAAAACTAAAGAGGAAGAAAAAAACCCCAATCAAATCGCGATTTACTGGTATTTTTTTTGTAGCTTTGGAGCGAATACTCAACTTACCTATGCAATATTCCCACTGACTACAAGCAGGGAAAAGACAGACTGTGTGATACAATATATTAAAAACAAAATCCAAACTCTCTTATGCATCCAATTCCCTCTTTCCCCCTTCCCCCCGGGCATCCTACTTAATGCTTTGTCTAATCTGTTCTACCAAACTCCATTTAATGCTAAGAAAGTGACTCCCAAGTCCTGCTCTTATGCTGCCATTACAGCAGTGAGGAATCAACAAAACACACAGCACACACTGAATGTAAATATATGCATCGGCAAGTCTCGTGTATTCCACGTCTCCAGTGTGTTTTGCTTTTGTGAAAAAGCCTAGGTAGAAGGGTTCCTGCAACAGCGTGTGGAATTTGCATATAAATACCGCAGAACAGGCCCCAGAAATAAAACTGAAAGGCGATGGAACATTATGTACAATGGCCCAACTCAGAGAACATGCACGAATTGCCAACAGTGCTGCTACAGTTTAGGATCTGTCAGCATTTCCATTATAAAACCTGATTTTCAAGGGTTTAGAAGTCAGCTAGGAAAAGGCACTCCAGGATACAGCTTGACCATGCACACAAGATCTCAGCCTCCACGTTTACTGGGTCAAAGTCACTTCCACCTCACCTGGGCTTGGTGGCAAGGAGAGAGAGAGAGAGTTTTCCTAACTCCCTGCAAAGCCACCCTAGGCACAGAGGCCCAGATCCTCAAGGGGAGTTAGGAGCCCAAATATCTTTGAGGATTTGGGGCATGAGTCTCCAAGTTGGCCTCTTCCCTTTTCACACCTCACCTCCAAAGTTCTGTAGGTGGAACTCTGCCCTCTGCTAATGTGTTCATATCCTGCTCGCCTATCTTACATCTGCACAACCTACTGCTGGTTTCCAGGGGGCTTTGGTGAGCGACTGAGTGAAATATCTGTTGGTTGATGTCCCAGCACTGAATGTGTGCACAATCGCCACAAATGGCTGCAACACGGAAGACTCGGTTCATTTCTCCAGATCTAAGGACAAACATCTACATCCTTCAAGCGAGGAAACAAGGCACCTTTTGGACTGCGGAGGCAGTGATCAGATCACAAGCACACTGCTGGCTTAACGTCCAGTAAGCAAACGCCCCTGGATTACAGTCAGACCGGCAAGCTGACAACGTGCTGCCAATAAGGCAAACATGTCTGAGGTGGAACTCAAATGAGGTACTAAGGGCTAGATCCTGGTGCAAATTGGCGTAGCTCCGGCTCCGTTGAAGCCAACAGAGCTATGGTGGAGATTTGGCCCTATCAATGTTTTAATAATTAACAAAAAAGAGAAATACTCTGAAAAGCAGAGCACCTTTAAAGCAATGCATCTCAAATTCTTATCCCTGGGAGTTAAATAGTTAAAAAAACAACACACAACACACCTATACAACTATGATTGTAATCTAACAGATATCCTTGTCACACTGTGCTATAAAAGTTTTAAGCGCCTTTTCAGAAATACTTGCCGTAAACATTGGTTGCTGTGAATTCACCTGCATAACACCCATGTTATTAAGCATGATTACCCGTCACTAGGGTGACCAGATGTCCTGATTTTATAGGGACACTCCCGATTTTTGGGTCTTTTTCTTATATAGGTTCCTATTACCCCCCACCCCCATCCCGATTTTTCACATTTGCTGTCTGGTCACCCTACCCGTCACGCACTATAAAATCTCTAGCTTTATTCCTTAAATATGAATTACTCTGGGCCCATTCTTCCACCTTTACTCAAAGAGTGGTGCCTTCCTTTGCAAATAACCCCCTTGCCTTCAATGGAGTTAACTGCAAGGCGCCACTCACCATGATTAAACGTGACCGAATTCTGGCCTAATATTAGAAACATTGAGGTGTATTCTATAGTCAAGTCCAAGAAAGATATACTTAGCTCTCAACAGACAGTCCAATAAAGGTAAGAGAAATGATCCCAGTGCCCTTTCCTGAGATCTGCTGTTTTTACTGTGAAGCACATTCCTTTCTCAACTAGGTGAGAAACCACAATATTCCTTCTCTCTGAGCTACCCAGTCTGCTTTCTGGAGACAACTGAGCCCCAGACAGGCTTTGAACACTAGGTGTCGCAGTTAGGCAGTGACTGTGCACCGTGAAATTATGCAGGGCAAGGTGAATCAACGCACAACACATTGTGATGTATCTATTTAATACCAGGGAATATTTCTAAGCTGGGGGGGGGAAATTGACTGCATGTCCAGCTGTCATGTGTGTTTTATGGCAGAAATTTGCTTTAAACAGTGAAAACACAGGAGGCAATTGACAACCAGCCTGCTTATGATTTCAGAGCCAAATGCTGAAGAATATGTAGGCATATATGGGCAGAGGAATGGGGGGGTGCATGGACACGTGCTTGGAGCGGTGAAGGAACTGGGTTATGGATACGCTTGCGTGTATGTGTTTGAATAGATCCAGCACTGAACGTGTAAGTAAAGAGGCGTATGAACTTGTGTATTACAGTGGGGACGTGCGGGTACTTGTGATGTGGGTACGTGTCTGCACCTGTTTGATAATTCTAAGCGTTTTGGAGGCATCAGTCACAGTGGTATTGGTGTAGCCAAGCAGGGGTGTCTGTGCTGGGAATGGGGATACAGTATCCATATGTATTTCATGAAAGGAAACTGCACATCATACTGAAGCCTGCCAGTCTGGCCAGACACCCTTTCAACTCTTTGCCTTCTCTACTTAATTCATTGGCCAGCCGGCACACAAGGAAGCTTACAGCTGAGCAGTCACAGACATACAAGTAAGAAGGGTGCCTGCTTTCAATGACATTCACCTTGGGCTTCCAGTACCATGGCGATCTGCAGAGAAGCCAGACAAACAAAATGGTTCCAAAGAGATGGTTGTGTTTTTGCTTTTCCTGGCAAGCTTTTGAAGGCAATTAGGGTCGATTTGTGGCAATTGTGTCTTTGGTCGGTGCTGCAACCCCCTTAACAAAATGAGATCATTTATCACCCAAGCAGGGAAACATTGATGTCAAGGGTGCTTCCGCAGCCTAGCCATACTTTGCAGGGTGTGTGGAAAGATGCAGGTTGTTCAACACCTGGGAAACAGAGTTCACATCGCAGGCAGCTACAGCATGAAGGGAGCAAATAACCAGTGCTGGGGGAATCGCCAAGGGTTCTGGGATGACTGCAGAGGCAGAAACGCAGCTTCTGCAAGTATCTTTCCAGGGTGGTTTGAAAGGCTGCCTGTCTGGGTTTGCTGGACCAGAAACATACGACCATCTGCTAAGGTGAAAGTGTCCAGCCAGGAGACATCCACTGGGCAGGGGCTGTCACAGCGAATCAGACCAAAAGCAAACCCTACAGAATTCATGGTAATGGCAGAGACTCTGGACTGGCTGAGGTTTTCTAAGGTACGTCTCCGCTGCAGCTCAGAGACGCAATTCCCAGAGTGGGTACCTGCACACACACTAGCTCTGCTTGGGCTTGGTTGCTCAAGGATGTCCCTAGGATCTCAGATAGTGTGGTACTCGGGTGGCTCTGCTGCGGTCACGCTGCTTAGTGCGGCAAGGGATTGAGGTTGGATATTAGGAAAAACTCTCTCACGCTAAGGCTAGCTAAGCACTGGAACAGGCTTCCACGGGAGGGTGTGGAATCCCCATCTGTGGGGTTTTTAAGAACAGGCTGGACAAACACCTGTCAGGGAGAGTCTACTTGGGCCTGCCTCAGTGTAGGCGGCTGGACTGGATGACCTCTCGAGGTCCCTTCCAGCCCCACATTTCTATGATTTTTAGCTAGCAGGTGAACATCTTCCGGAGCTGCGATTTACACCTCCCAGCTGCCCCGTAGAGGTGCCCCGTCTGCACTCCAGCCTAAACCAATGCCTCCAGCTACAGCTGCAGGAGGGAGGGCTCTCACCATGGCGAGCTCGGCTTCCAGTTCCTTCATTCTGTTGTCTTTCAGATCCAGCTGGGAGCGGAGCGCGCTGGCGTGGTCTGTCGCCTCTTTGGCTTGCCGGCGCAGCTCCCACTTCTCGCGCTCCAGGAGATCCTTCTCTTTCGCAAGTGCTTTCACTGCATCCTCGCTCTCCTGCAAAGACACCAGGGCAAAGGCAGGGAATGAGAGAACAGGCACCGCTCGCTTCCCCAGGAAATCCGTGCCACGCAACACAGGGCAGCGTTTTATCTGGTATTAAAAACACTGGGCAAAATCATGACCACACTGGAGTCAATGGCAAAGCTCCTATTGGCTTCAATGGGGCCAGGATTTCACCCCCTCTTCCTTACCTTCTCCTACCAGAGCCTACAGCCAGGGTGAATAGGGAGGGTTGTAAGGAAGCTGCAGGTCTGCGTCGGGGGTAATAAGTAGGGAAAGAAGCAACACACTGAAAAACTGAAGGGCAAACAAACAAAAGTAAGAGATCGTTTTCACCGCCTGTGTCTCTTTGCCACACTCTGGACTAGACCCCTCCTGGAGACCCTCTGCCCATGTGAGTGCCACCGACCAGGCCTGTGGGGCAAAATGGATCTGCACTGCAGCTCCCGGGCCAAGGGTGGCCATAATGAAGTGCCAGCGTTTCACCAGAACGTTAGCACTGAAACGAACGCTGGAGAGAAGCGAGGAGTTAGCTGCTCGAGAGAGCCCTGGGGATTCTAATTCCCGGTGCCAAAGAACCTAAAGCGGAGGCAAGCTTGTTCGCAAGCCCAGCTGCCCTGGAAACGCACCATTGCCTACTGTTTGACACAAGCCTGTGGTATCTCTTCCTGAATTGCAGATTTAGTCTGTCCCCTGTGGATACGGGGATAGGAGAACGGGCCTCATAGGAAACCCCCTGCCCCCTTCATCGCTCACAACAGAGCTTAATAAAAACAAAAGATTCCCTGTTTCTACAAGGAAACTCCTATTAAAAAAAATACAGGTGGCAGCTACTTCGTGTGCAGCTTCGGTACAGATACAGAAGTTTTCTGGGTTTTTAATCTGTCTGTCTGTCTTTGGGTTCTGATATCTGAGCACCTGCCACATGAAATTTGGTGGCAACAGTCTAGTCCCTAGTGGGCTTCAAGGAACCCTGGCTCTTCTCCTTTTCTGGGTTTGAGAGCTTTGTTGTGCTTCTGGAGATTAATCATACTCAGGCCTTCTCCAGCCCTTCTCATTCACAGATCTCAATGCACTTTACAATGGCGGCTAAAGCACCATCATCTCGGTTTGACATGGGGGGAAACTGAGGCACAGTGGGGTCATGTGGTTCAGGACAGAGTCTGTGGCAGAAACAGGAATTGAATTGTAGTCTCCTGACTTCCACTCTGGTTCCCTGCCCACTGGACCACACCGTCTTCAGGTTCCTGCGCCAATGAGATGACATCCCGGAGCCACCTAAGAGGAGATTGCTGGATGGGAAATTACCTGGCTACAAAAAGCGCACAAGCCACCTCACTTGTGTTGTCAAGGCCGTGCAGCACTGGGAGCCCAGCTGATGCAGAATGCCAGCCAACTAAGTTATTAGTTTGACGGTGGTCACGGCCCAGTGCAAACTAGTTCAGTGAGGCGAAAGCAGCACGGACGTGATTGTGCTCATGGCAGCGTGCATCCCGCCGGCTGTATTTTTCACCTTTCAATCTTTTTTTTTTTTTTTTTGGTAAAAGAGGACGGTAGATGGCAGCTGCATTTGCGCGCTGGGTATTACTTTCTGCCAGGGATCCCTCCCCATGACGCTGCTTTAGTGACTGAATGATTAGCAGCTGCAGAAAAGTCCAGCTGTTTTGAGAGTCGGCTCCTCCGGGAACAGGTCGAGGGACATGCAGCTTGGTGCCACCTGTGCCCGTTCAGGGGAACAGATCACCGAGGGCTGATTTGGCACCTCGCAGTCCAGGGGGCAGTGCACAGCGTACTTTGCCCAATGGCCAAAGGGGGAAGCAGGGACGGAAGTGTGATGCTGTAATGCCTTTCTCCTGGTGCTTCCTTGGTTACTTCCTTCTGCATGGCAGCTCAGCTGGAGAGAGGAGGAAAAGGTGGAGCTAAGATTGTGTCTGCCCTTTGCCCCGTGCCCACACACCTGCATGGGATGCGGGATCAGCCGCTCAGCACCAGCTGCTTCCCCCGACACCATGCAGGGTCTGGCAACATAGGGAGCCCATGCACGGGGACTAAGGGGACTGCTTACATCCCCTTATGTCACTGTGCATGTGGTCGAGCCCAAAGGCTGAAATTTGCAAAACTGCCTATGGGAACTGGGTGCCTAAATGCCTCGGAGGCCCAGGGAATCTCAGACTAGGTGTTAGTACATGGGAGTGGTGGCTTCTACCAAATAGGACCAGGCTGACATGCTCTGCAGCTAGTCTGATTGTTTTAAATTCTAGCCCTATTGAAAAACCTCTGTGCATCCCTCTCCTTTCCAGGATGGCTAAAGGGGACATTCAGAGAGCAGTTCCTGTTGTCACAGTCAAATGATCGTTTCAGCTTCTGCAAGGCCAAGCTCAGGAAAACACAAACCAACCCCCAACGTTGCATGTAATGAAGGCAGCAGTGTTCTCGCCTCACCAATAGCTTTGCATATATGTAGAAGCCAAACAGCGCCAGTCCTTCCACATACAGCACTGGACCGAAGAGGGCTGAATTAACACGGGGGACACAAGGAAAGGGTATCAGCGTAAAACATCAGCAACGCCATCCCTCCATCCTGCTTCCCACTGAAATCCCCTCCACGGTCCCATGTGTTCAGAGGTGTTATCAGAGGTAGGTCGAAGCCCTACATTTTTATAGAGGACAGCAGGCCGATGGTTTACATCACCCGTCAACCACGGTGATGGAACATTGTTGGCTCTTCCCCATACTATAGATGAAACTGTTCTATCAACACCAGCCTACAGACTGTTGCCGAGAGCGTGGTTTCCCCGGCCATGCAGACAAGTGCTTTTTCCTGGACAATTTGTTTGAAAGCCACGCTGTTGTGAGAGTCTATAGCCTGGTTTGACCAACAGCACTTTCAGAATAAGCAGATCCTCTCTGGTGATTAGGGAAAACGGGATAAAACCGCTGCTAGCCACAATCATGTTCAGAAACACTGAGCACCCGCAACTCCCACTGACCCCAGCTTGAGGTTGAGTCTTGGATGTTCAACACTTCTGATAATCAAGCCTCGTTATTGCACCGTTTCCAGTCACACTGTGGACAAGACCTAAGGCGCTTAAGGTCACTGCGACAGACTATGGGTGCGGGTCCTTGAGACCAGGATGGCAATGTCATTTCCTTTGAGGCTTGTGGAGAAATGTTATGGGATGCCCTGGGAGAACAAGCACAAGGAAGAGGCAGGATGCTTTTTCAAACACTCTTTGATCCTTCTCCATGAATACAGGAGATGACCTCAGAGTCGCCCAGACCCCAGTTCATAGGTTATTTCATACACTAAGTTTCTCTAGTGAATCAGTGGTGAAAATACGCAGGCTGCCTGCCACAGAGTGGAAACGAGGACATGTCCCTCAGCCTCTCTGCAAACACAGCCCCCAGGGAAGAATTGCCTCAGACTCCCATAAAGATCCTACCAGCAGATCTGGATGAAGCAAGTGGAGGGGCTGCAGAGATCATAAAACCTCCAGCATTCTTGCAAGCAAATGAGCAGCGCAAAGAGCCTCTCCCAACCTATGTGCCTTCCTCCATGTGTTCCTCCCGCACGTGTCTTTGGGATTTTTTAAATTGTATTGATTTTCTCACACAAGCTGGAAAGAAAAATACAATTTTCTGCAAAAGCTGAAAGCTGGATTCGCGTGATCTTTGTTATGATACTTTAAAAATAGAAACTTTCTCTCTCTGCATGGAAAAAAGCCCAGAATAATTACAGATGTTTGATTCCCATGGCTGTTTATTGGAGCGGATGGCTCTATGCAGCCTAATCAAAAGCAAAACAGGAAACTGTCTCTCTATATATATCCTCTTGCAAACAGAGCAGAGATGCCGAAAACATTTCAGAGAAATGCTATTTATTCTTGAGCGACTTAGTCTAGAGTCACTGCAGTTTGTATGTTCTTTTAACAAGCTCTTAACTTTAAGGACAATTACAAAACCTGTCCTTGAAATAACCCGTTGTAAAAGCTCATTCCCTTGAGCAGAGAGCGAGAGAGAGAGAGCGGGAGCGCGCACACCATATTGGTTCAATGATTTCTTCCAGTCCGATTTGTTACATGAGACGGATAGAGCAATACTCTTAAATCAAACACCGCTAACTTTGCTCATTGACCTGACTTTTCCTGTATTTAGGTATTTACTAGTGCTCCAGTTATATTGCCAGCTGCCTTACCACCTTTTATTTGCTCACTCACCTGAGATAAGTTTTTTTTTGATCCGGGAGTTAAATCTCTCCAGGTCTTTTCACTACCATCATTCATCACAGCAATGCGAGTAGATTTTGGACTTGATCTTGCAGCACTGAAGTGAATGGGACTTTTGCCATTGACTTCAATGGGGAGGATCGAAGAGTTTCTGCGTGGGCTGGTAATGTTTTCAGGACAATTTAGAAAGGCCAATGCACAGATTCAATACAAGCCATTGTAGACTGTGGTACAGAGAGAGCCAATAGGACATCAGCCCCTTGCTTTGGATAGTGCAGATGGCATGGCTTTTAGAGCCTAATCCAGAGCCCACTGATATCAATGGAAAGGCTTCAGCATGTCCCCAGGATGTGAGAGATGGATTCTGCAGCCCTCAAGAGCGCGGGAAGGTGGACTCTGCGGTGTGATACAGGCTGTTGGTGCAGATGACACCCAAGTAAGTGCTCATATACTCTGCAGATACAGTATCCTGCAGCCCTAGTGTTACCAGCAACAGACTGCCTGCTCCCTTGGTATAGATTGCACCAGCTACGGGAAGAGGGTGTGTGTGTGGTTGGAGTTTGTACCTGCACAGACCACACCTCCTTACCCTTACATCCTGAAGAGTATGCAGCAGAGTGGCGTCTCTGAGGACTTTGAGGGTGGAATCCGGCTCACAGAGGACGATTTCCCACTCTGACCCCTCTCTGCCTGTGGGCTTTTTCTAGCAGCAACCTTTAAACATGGCTGCCACGTTTAAGAAATGTGCAATATTTTTGCATTTTGACAGCTAAAGTTTATCACTTACACTATGTTAAACACCGATGTCTGAGCTAAAATGAAGCCACAGTATAACAACTAAAACAGAAGAACATCAGAATGGCCACACTGGGTCAGACCAATGGTCCATCTAGCTCAGTGTGTGATACAGGCTGTTGGTGCAGATGGCACCCAAGTAAGTCTTTGACAGTGACCAGAGCTAGAGGCTTCAGAGGAAACGAACACAACAGGGCAATTATTGAGTGATCCAGCCCGTCATCCAGTCTCAGCTTCTGGCAGTCAGAGGCTTACGGACACCTGGAACATGGGGTTGTGTCCCTAACCATCTTGACAAATAGCCATTGATGGACTTATCCTCCATGAACTTATCTAATTGTTTTTATAACCCAATTATACTTGTGGCCTTCACAACATCCCATAGCAATGAGTCCACAATTGACTGTGTGAAGAAGTCCTTTCTTAAGTTTGTTTTAAATCTGTCGCTATTAATTTCATTGGGTGACCTCTGGTTCTTGTGTTATTTCTCCCTTCCCATAACACTTCCTTATTCACTTTCTCCACACCTTTCCTGATTTTACAGATCTCTATTATATCCTCCCTCAGTTGTCTCTTTTCTAATCTAATATGATTGCTCTCTTTAAATATATCAAAGGGATAAATACCAGGGAGGGAGAGGAATTATTTCAGCTCAGTACTAATGTGGACACGAGAACGAATGGATATAAACTGGCCGTGGGGAAGTTTAGGCTTGAAATTAGACGAAGGTTTCTAACCGTCAGAGGGGTGAAATTTTGGAACAGCCTTCCGAGGGAAACGGTGGGGGCGAAAGACCTCTCTGGCTTCAAGATTAGGCTAGATAAGTTTATGGAGGGAATGGTTTGATGGGATAACGTGATTTTAGTCAATTAGGTAATAACGTGCCATCGCTGGTAAAATGTGGGTCCGGCTGGAGAATCTTGCCTGTATGCTCGGGGTTCTATTGATCGCCATATTTGGGGTCGGGAAGGAATTTTCCTCCAGGGTAGATTGGCAGAGGCCCTGGAGGTTTTTTGCCTTCCTCCGCAGCATAGGGCAGGGGTCGCAAGCTGGAGGATTCTCTGCGACTTGAAGTCTTTAAATCACGATCTGGAGACTTCAACAGCTGAGATAAGGGAAATTGGGTGGGTCAGCTTTTGTGGCCTGCATCATGCGGGAGGTCAGACTAGATGACCATAATGGTCCCTTCTGACCTTAAAGTCTATGAGTCTATGAGCAGCCCCAATCTCTCCTTGTATGGAAGTTGTTTCATATCCTTAATCATTTTTGTTGCCCATCTCTGTTTTTTTGCCAATTCTAATATATCATTTTTGAGATAGGGTGCCCAGAACTACACACAGTATTCAAGCTGTGGGTGTCCCATGGATTTATATAGTGGCATTGTATTTTCTGTCTTATTTTTTCTCTCTTTCCCAATGGTTCCTAATATTCTGTTAGCTTTTCTTTTACTGCTACTGCACATTGAGCGGATGTTTTTGGAGAACTATCCACAAGGACTCCAAGATCTCTTTCTTGAGTGGTAACAGCTAATTTAGATCCCATCATTTTGTCGGTATACTTGGGATTATGATTTCCAATGTGCATTAACATTGCACTTAACACTGAATTTCATCTGCCATTTTGTTGCCCAGTCACCCAGTTTTGTGAGATCCCTTTGTAGCTCTTTGCAGTCAGCTTTGGACTTAACTGTCTTGACTAATTTTGTATCATCTGCAAACTTTGTCACTTCACTTTTTATCCCTTTCCCCTGATCATTTATGAAGATGTTAAACAGCACTGGTCCCAGTACAGATCCTTGGAGGACCCTGCTATCTACCTCTCTAAACTATGAAAATTGACTATGTAGTCCTACCCTTTGTTTCCTATCTTTTAGCCAGTTACTGATCCATGAGAGGATCTTCTTTCTTATCCCATGACTGCTTGCTTTACTTAAGAGCCTTTGGCATGGGATCTTGTCAAAGGCTTTCTGAAAGTCCAAGAACGTTATCATCAATTTTATCATCCTTGTCCACATGAATGTTGACATGTTCAAAGAATTCTAATAGATTGGTGAGGCATGATTTTCCTTAACAAAAGCTGTTTTGACTCTTCCCCAACATAGCATGTTCATCTGTGTCTGATAATTCTGGACAGGCTATGCAGGAGCTTACTTTTCTGTGTTGCTCGTAGTTCCTGATGAAGTCACGTAGCTGTTCCTCCCGGCTCTCCAGCGTGGCGTAGAGCTGTTGCATTTGGCTTACCAGGTCTGTCTTCTCTGCTTTCAAACGTTTTCGATCTGCCTTCATGGCTGCATGAAAGAACACAGTTACAGCTCAAGGTCAGAGACAGGAAATGGGGCTCTTCTCTACATTCAGAAAGTCACATCTCAATCTTTCCAAACACTCTGGGCTTATTTTAAACACAGGACAACTACAATTCTACGAAGGATTCTGAACTCCTGATTTTCCTGTGATAATTAGCGTGAATAGGAACCGCCGCGGATGCTCTGCCATAGTTAGCTGAATGATGCAAATGGAATCAGAGCCTGATCTATGCTAGGGATATCTGTAAATTCACCAGTCCATATCCATGTATTATGAATGCCTCTTTCCACGGTTGGAAACTAAGGCCCTTAGTAGAGAACTTAAGCACATGGCTAACCCAATTTATTTCAGTGAGCCTATTCATGTGCTTAGGACAAGGATGTGCTGAAATGCTTTGATGGATTGTGGCCTAAATTTGATCTAAAAAAGAAAAGACCTATGCTATTTTTAATCTAAAATGTTACCGGTCTACTACAGCCAAAACCAATGTAGTTTTCAATGCTCTGTAAGTTAAAAAAGAAACAGTGGTATTGGTAGTGACCCATCCTACTAGATTTTAAGAACTGGTCTGATCATTTACAGTTCTGGAGTCTTTCAAATGCACCTGTCTGCCAGAAGAAAATGCCTTTATTTTTTAAGCATGAACTCAGTGTTATTCAGTGCAATCCACGCCGGATGGCAGGAAATTCCTTTACTGATTATGCCAAGTTTCCTTCTAGGTTGGAGATGGAACCATGCCAAGTTTATAGCTAACCCTAGAACCACAAGATAGAATCCTGGTTTCATTGAACTCAGTGGCAAAACTCCCACTGGCTTCACAGCGGGGCCAAGGTTTCACCCATAAAGTCTGAAGAGGTTTGGCTTTGGCATTCCATCTCTATGCCAACTGCAATTAAAGAAAATAACCAAGCTCTGAAACGACAGTCCAGGGGCTAGGTTCTGATCTCATCTACGCTGGTGTTAATCCAGAGCAGTTCCACTGAACCCAATGTTGGTGCGATGCAGATCAGAATTTGGTCAGACCTTCCAAGCCCAATTCAACCTCAGCCAGCAGGGCAGCACGACCCATTCGGATGGAATAATCACACCCGGCTGATTTTCAAATTCCAATTACAGAACAAAACCAGGGGGGTGGGGAAAAAAGCATTTGAGATTTTTCATCTCCAAAATGTCAGGCTACAGGCATTTCACAGCAGACATGTTCCTGTACTGGGCAGAGTGCTCCTTTCTGCTTGTTACTGCAAAAATAAGTCACCCATCGTGTTACATCCCATCAAACATCTTTCAAGGAGGAGGAACAGGAGATATTTGGGGTGCCTGAGTGAAACAGAATAAGAAACTGAGGAAGGGAGACCAAAGGGCAGGGAGGTTGAGCCTAAATAAACAGGGTATTTCCTCCTTGCTCACAAACTAATGTAAATTACAAACACCACAACACTGAGACATCACAGCGTTTGTTATGGCTCTTAATCTTCCCACCTCCTGTTAAGTTACAATGCAGCAAGCTGATGGGGAGTAGCAGAAAATGAGTGCCGACTTCTCACCAGTTCACTTCATTTCCCCAAACCCTCCTGTACCAGCTCAGAGAAGTAGTGCTGTCCTAGTAGTGCTTCGTGGTGGGAGGAACGAAACACGTACGTCCGAGCGGGAATAGGAGAATACTGGAGAAAGTACATTGCTTGGCTTGTTCCACAGATTACAGGTGGAAAGAGAAGTCAGGATCAGAGTGCAAACAGAAAGACATGCCGTGATAAAGGGGGTTCTTGTGATACTTTCAGTCCAATCAGAAGTAGGAAGTGCCAGGAATCTCACAAGAAAACTCGTGCCCATGAATCTTCTAGCCTAATATTGCAGAGCCAAGGGTTCTGATCGTTCATATAAACATGTTCACATTACAATGCTCCTGACTGGCTCAAAGAATCTTAGGGCATGTCTACACTTGCCGGTGGATCGAAACTGCTGCAATCGATGCAGTGAGTGTCGATTTAGCGGGTCTGGTGAAGACAAGATAAATCGATGGGTGAGCACTCTCCCATCGATTTGTGTACTCCACCTCCCCGAGAAATGTAAGGGAAATCGACGGGTGACGCTCGCCCGTCGACACAGCGCAGTGTCGCCACCGCGGTAAGTGGATCTATGTCGACTTCAGTTATGTTATTCACGTAATGGAAGTTGTGTAAGTTAGATCGATTTACCACAGTAGTGTAGACCAGGCCATAGTAATGTAGGGTTAGTAGAGACCTCAAGATCCATCCCCATCCCTCTGTGCTGAAACAGGACCAAGTATACCTAGACATCTGCAGGGATTGAACCTGGGACTTCTGGATCTAAAAACATGAGCTTCTTCTGCTCAAGCAAATGACCCTGGTCTACAACACTGTGCTGTTACACTAGTTTCCAGGATCTTATTCAAACTGAACCTGGAACCAATTTGCCCAACACTCACTGGTACATTCTGCAACTTTATGAAATAATACATTTTAAAAAGGGCCAGATTCTGTCCCCTTTAGATACGTTAAGTCACTTTATTCTATTGCTTTCAATGAGATTATTTGCAGCACAAAATGCTAAACTAAGCACAAGAAGAACAAAAATGAGGCCCAAAAGGTTTCGATTTTCAAGACTTGTTACTTTGAACTCTCCCCACTGATTTGAGTCCCCTACACAATTCCCATATTTTACCGGGGAGAAAATACCAGGTATTACAGCAGAGAAAGGCAGAACAAGCCCCAGTGGCTGGAAGTTAAAGCCAGACAAATCCAAATGAGAAATCGGGCACACACTTGGAACAGTGAGGATGATTAGTGATGGGAACAAAATTACCAAGGGAAGTGGTGGATTCGCCATCTCTTGATGTCTTCAAAGCAAGACTGGAGGCTTTTCTGGTTGATGCTTTAGCCATTGGGCTTGATAGAGGAGCAACAGGGTTAAATTCAATGGTCTTTATTATAGAGGAGATCAGACCAGATGACCTCATACGCCTTCTGGCCATAAAAATCGAAAAGTTTACATTACAAAAAACTCTGCAGCCGTTTGAAATCATGTTGGCTTGAGAATGAACGGGGGAGGGAACAAAGAAAACACCACCACAACACTTTTGCTTTAGATTACATTAAAATCCACTTATTTTCTCCCTATTTGTTTTCTAGATGCTCATTTGCAGGGGTGGAATTTTTTGCCTTATAAATACTGTATGGAGCATAGAAAAAACAAGGCCAAATAATGACATAATAAATCAGGGGAATATTAGTTAATGAGCCAAACTGCCAGTAGTTTCCCCTCACTCCTCTTCTGCACACATTTCTCCAATTCAGTTCCTGGCCAGGCTTGGTGTTGATGGCTAAAAGCAGCCATCAGTCCTCATCTTTTTATTCTTCTAATAATTACAAGCCTTGGTGATCTCTTCCAGGGCAGAACAGCTTCAGAGGCGGCTTGAGATGAGTCAGAGCTGGAATCTGAATCCAGCAATGCTTGGGAGATGGTATGAGAGACCCATCTGTAGCTCACGCTGAGTGTGGAGGAGCCAGCTGTTGGCTTCTTGCATGAATTTTCACCATGCAATTGGTCTCCGCTTCCTGCCCTCCCTTCCAGAGAGCAACTTCGGTATAAGTAAAATCTCCATTTATATGTTATATAAAGGACAGGGATACATTATTCTTATTAATAATTACTACATGTTCCATCTGCATTGGTTATTATTTGCATCACTGTAGCACCCAGGAGCTCCAGTGATGGACCAGGACCCCATGGTGGTAGGCGCTCCACAAACACAGAACAAAAGGACGGTCCCTGTCCCAAAGGCTCAAGTTGCAGAGTGGAAAATCAGGTTAACTCGAACAGCTTAATGGGACTAAATCGGGGGGCCCAGATGATCTTCATCCAAGAATATTAAAGGAACTGGCACATGAAATTGCAAGCCCATTAGCAAGAATTTTTAATAAATCTGTAAACTCAGGGGTTGTACCGTACAACTGGAGAATTGCTAACATAGTTCCTATTTTTAAGAAAGGAAAAAAAGTGATCTGGGTAACTACAGGCCTGTTAGTTTGACATCTGTAGCATGGCAAGGTGTTGGCAAATTTTTTGAAGGAGAAAGTAGTTAAGGACATTGAGGTCAATGGTAATTGGGACAAAATACAACATGGTTTTACAAAAGGTAGATCGTGCCAAACCAACCTGATCTCCTCCTTTGAGAAGGTAACAGATTTCTTAGACAAAGGAAACACAGTGGATCTAATTTACCTCGATTTCAGTAAGGCATTTGATACGGTTCCACATGGGGAATTATTAGCTAAATCGGAAAAGATGGGGATCAATATGAAAATTGAAAGGTGGATAAGGAACTGGTTAAAGGGGAGACTACAACGGGTCATACTGAAAGGTGAACTGTCAGGCTGGAGGGAGGTTACTAGTGGAGTTCCTCAGGGATCGGTTTTGGGACCAATCTTATTTAATCTTTTTATTACTGATCTTGGCACAAAAGGTGGGAATGTGCTAATAAAGTTTGCGGATGACACAAAGCTGGAGGGGTATTGCCAATACAGAGAGGGACCAGGAATCATACAGGAAGATCTGGATGACCTTGTAAACTGGAATAATAGTAATAGGATGGAATTTAATAGTGAAAAGTGCAAGGTCGTGCATTTAGGGATTAATAAGATTTTTTGTTATAAGCTGGGGATGCATCAGTTGGAAGTAACAGAGGAGGAGAAGGACCTCAGAGTATTGGTTGATCACAGGATGACTATGAGCCGCCAATGTGATATGGCCGTGAAAAAAGCTAATGTGGTCTTGGGATGCATCAGGCGAGGTATTTCCAGTAGAGATAAGGAGGTGTTAGTACCATTATACAAGGCCCCGGTGAGACCTCATCTGAAATACTGTGTGCAGTTCTGGTCTCCTATGTTTAAGGAGGATAAATTCAAACTGGAACAGGTACAGTGAAGGGCTACTAGGATGATCTGAGGAATGGAAAACCTGTCTC